ACAGAGAGAGACATAGAGACAGAAAGCGAGAAATCACCCCCCAGGGGGGATGGTCATGCCACAATCCCTTCTCCTCCACTCTCCCCTCGGGATCCTGGGTACACACGCACACGTGCCCGGCGTGAGTTTTAAGCCACTGGGTCCGGGACGCGACCCAAGGTCAACCACGTGGGAGTCCAGCAACATAGCCATTACGCTACCTGCAGGTTCCCAAGCTGTTGTTATTTTTATCAGTGCTATGATAGAGTTGAGAACAGGAGGCTGTGGGACTCTAAACAAATGAACTAAACCTAGCCTGGGGGTTAGAGAAAGATTCATGAAGCCTGAACTGAGGCCTAAGATAGAAGGGCAGGGTTTATAGACTGTCTTCAGCCTTCAGGCTCTCCTCTTCCAGTTCAAACTTCAAAGTCCATATCGCCTACAAGAATGTTTTTTCTAAATAACAGACCTTGCCACTACTTAAAATCATCTTTATATTCTCCACACCTACAGAATAAAGTGTGTTTTCCTCACTGGACCGTGACCACAGGAGGCTAGCGTAAAGCCTGGTCACTTTGCTTCCTCTGCAAGACAGTAATCCTCTCAGGGCTTGACTGGGTATGATTCACTTCTATGTCCTCAGCATCACCTAGCACAAGGCTGGGCACAGAGAGCACTGATAATCAGTGTATTCCAGGACATGTGGTTCCTGGTGCTCAAACAAGGCAGAGTTGGGGCAGGTGGCCCTCCCATGCCATGGCGTGAGGTCCAGCCTAAGTGGCCTATTATGTAAGCAGTATTTCTGAAAAAGCAGACTAGCTGAGAGGTGTGTTTCTAGACTGAGATAAGAGTGGGCTGCTTGAGGCTTGAGACCTATGGGGGAGGCTTTTGGGGACCAGGAACAAGAATCAGCAGGACCATATCAGCCCTTGTTTCCCCCCTCCCCAGGGACCGCTACCCCCGCATTGGAGACATCCTGCAGAAGCTAGCACCCTTCCTCAAGATGTATGGCGAGTATGTGAAGAACTTTGACCGGGCTGTGGAGCTGGTCAACACCTGGACAGAGCGTTCCACCCAGTTTAAAGTCATCATTCATGAGGTGCAGGTAAGTGGTGAAGCTGAATGGAGCAGATGGATCAGGAGAGGTTGGTGGGGACCTGGTGGGATCTGCAACCAGACCTAAACCCTTCTGCTTCTGCCCATCACAGAAGGAGGAAGCCTGTGGCAACCTGACATTACAGCACCATATGTTGGAGCCTGTGCAGCGCATCCCCCGCTATGAGCTGCTTCTCAAAGACTACCTGTTGAAGCTCCCCCATGGCTCTCCAGACAGCAAAGATGCCCAAAGTGAGTGTGTACACCCAGACCTTCTGCTTCCCCGCACTGGTAGTCCTAGGCCAGACCGCCGAAGCAGGTCCCAAGACTTAATGCACAGGGTCATCCTTCCATTGTCACATGATTGAGAGCCCAGAATAGGATCTCCAAACTGAAAGACCCACACTGAGGTTTTGAAGTAAGACTCCAGGATAAACATCCAGGTTGAGATTCCAGCCTAAGAACCCAGACAAAACATTCAGAAGTAGTACTCAAACTGAAACCCAAGTTTGAGGGGCATGCCTAGAATGATACTCCAAGAGGGGCCATCCATTTCCTAGGTTAAGACTCCAAAACCGACAACTCCCCCATCACCCTGGAATGAATTTTACTAAGTATGAAATGAAACTGAGCTTGAGGCTTCTTTACTAAATCTCCATGGCTGAGCTCCTCAGAAAGAGCTCTGTCTCATCAAGCTCCTGATTTCCCATCTACCAGATTTAGAGCTTCACTCCCTGCCTACCAGCTACTTATGTAGAACAAACATCTCAAAACACTTACAAGTCTGATCAGAGCCCCCACAAAATCACCTCTCCAGAAGCGAGCATCCTAGACTGGATGCTGGGATATTTTTCATCTTTCAGATTTGGATCTCTAAGGCTAGACAGCTTCTCCTCAGACTGTGCCATCACATTGAACCACCAGAAAAGTATTTCATTCTGGGGGCCAGCAGGTGGGGGGCCAGCAGGTGGCATGGTGGTTAAAGGCGCTGGATGCCCACATGGTCCACCATGGTTCGAGTCCCAGACCTGGCTTTCTCACTTTCCCTTTCTGTCTTTCTCTGTCTGATCAAATTTTAAGATAATAATAATAACAACAAATGGAATTAAATAAATATATAATTATAAAAAAGAAAAAAAAAAGAAAGAAAAGTATTTCATTCTGATTTCTTCCTTATCAGCCACACCACTATAGGGTCACAACCTAGATAGAATACCCCACTTCCCTTCTCCAGGCTGTTATTTCTATTCATTTATTAATTTACTTAACAGCTACATTCTGAGCACCTCAATGTTCTGTGCATTGTTCTAGGCACTGGGGATATGCAAGTGAACAAAACAGACAAGGTCCTTGATCTCACAGTGGGTATATTCTGGTTGGGGAGAAACACAATAAAGAAAAGTTATAAACACACAGGAGAATATTAGATAGGTGCTAAGTATAATTTAGAGAATTAGAGGATGAAGTTACAGTGACAAGGAACCCTACTTTAGATTGTGTGGCTTCTATGAATCGAAGACATTTTAGTCAGAACCTGAATAACAAAAAGAAGGTAGCCACATGCTGACTAGGAAGGAGTCATTTCAGGCAGAGGCAATGGCAGGTGCAGAGTTGCCAGAGAAGAGGTGACCTTGGAGGAGGTGGGCAGTTTACGTAATTCTGAACCAACAAAAGGGCCATTGTGACCTGAACATGATGAGTGAGGAAAGAAGGGTAAAAGTGGGGCTGAAAAGAGAAGCCAGATTTGAAAGCCAAAACAAAGAGAGAGGTTAAATTCTCAGTGTGGTGGGTAGCCATGGGCAAGTTTTTATTTTAGTTTTTAATTTCCAGAGAGTACATGCAATCACCAAAGAGAGACAGAGAGTCAGATCAAGAAAGAGAGAAAAAGCAACCCCTAATGGGGCATGTTCATGCTGTAGTCCTTTCTCTTCCATTTCTCCATTCTTTCAGGATTTGGGGCATGCATGCACATGCTCACTGAGTCCTTTTCTGATGCCCTAAATTGTTCCCCAAATTCAGCCACCCAAGTCATGTTCCTAGTCTGATCTTCCCCATCTCAACTCTTAGAGTGACTTCACCAAGGGTGAAACCCTTATTTTCTTTTTAATTGCCAAAAGGCGCATATACTTGCCAGAGAGAGACAGAAAGAAGGAGGAAGCACCCCACCCAATGGAATGTGGTCACACCACAAACTCTTCTCCATTTCTCCATTCTGTTGGGATTTAGGGCACTTGCACACATATGTACCTGGTATGATTTTCAATCCACCAGGGCTGAGATTCAAACTGCAGTTACCCATGTGGAATCTGGTTCCCTTAACCACCAGGCCATGGGGCCAGCCTGAACTCTGTCATTTTCTATCTCCCAAACTTGGACTCATGGATTGAGATTCCAAGGCTGAATCCAGCAGACTGAGGTCTCTAGACTGGGCCCTGTACTGAGACTTACAAAGGGTGCCTTAGGGGCCAGCAGGTGGCATAATGGTAAAGATATTGAACTCCCACGTGGTCAATCACGGTTCAGGTCCCAGATCTGGTGGAGGCTTGCTTTATCTTTCTCTCTCTCTCTGGTGAGTGCACATATCCTATAGAAATTTAAAAAGTAACAATGATAAATAAAATTAATCCTTAAAAAAAAAAAAGGGCTCCTCACTGCCATGCTTTCTCCATGATAGAGAGGGTGCATGCACTTGCCAAAGACAGAAAGAGTTCCGAAGAGGGAGGAAGCAACCCCTAATGGGGTGTGGTCATATCACAATCCCTTCTTCTTCAAACCTCTATCCCATCAGGTTTTGGGGCACACATATACTCTGCCTGTTTTTCAAGCCACTTGGGGCCATGATTCAAACCACAGTTGACATGTGTGATCTGGTTTCCTTAACCACTAGGCCACAAGGCTGGACTGTCTCCACATTTTATACCCATCTGACTGGGGTCCCCAGAATGAGCCTCCTGGCTCATTGCTTTGCTCAGAGTCCTGCAGAATCACATATCCACCTTGAGCTCCCAGGACTGAGTTCCACAATTTCACATTTATACTAGATCCTCAGCATGATAATCCTAGATGGAAATTACCCAGATGAGCTCCCTTAATTGGACCTTCAAAGTGAGCTGCCAGTGTAAGCTCCCTAGACTGAGGCTAAGGTCTCTTTTGTCAACTGTGTGTCCTTAGGCAAGCTGTTAAACCTCTCTGCCTGTGTTTTTTCATGTGCAGAATGGGGATGATAATGACACCCACCTCACAGGGTTGTTTTGAAGATAAATGAGATAGTCCAAGAAAAGCTTTTGGCACATGGTAGAGGCTCAATAAATGTTAACTCTTTCTATATTGAATGTTCTGACTAGCTCCCTCCATGCTGAATCCCTCTGAAACCAACCCCTAGCTTGAGCTTATCAAATTTAGATTCCTCTCAATTCTAACCTATCTGAGCCCCAAAATAAACCTCAGAGCTTGAGCCTGGCTGATTAAGCTCCCCTAATGGGTCCTCCTAGACCGAACCCTTACATTGAGCCCAAAGATGAAAGCCCCAGAAAGAACTTCCTAATTTTTTTCTTACCTGCTCAGAATGAGAATCTCTGAATGAGAACTAGTCCAAGATGTGCCCACTAAACTCCCCAGCCCAACATCCTGAACTGAGCTCCCTATTTTTTACCCCTCAAACTAAAATCCCCAGGCTGAGTCCAGAAAATACCTCCAAGTGTGAACCCCACTGAATTATTGGGTTGTTGGAAAAGTCATGACACATTTTTGCATAGAAAAACATAGAAAAATATGTCATGACTTTTCTGATGTCCCAATATATCTCCAGTTCCCCAGATTGACTCCCCCATTTCCTGTTTCCCAGTCTGTAGTCTGAAGACTTGGTCCTAGACAGAGCTCCCCAAACCAGGCTATGTCCTCAGTGGCCTACAATGAGCCCATACTAAACTCCAAATCAAGATCCTTTAGTGCCAAGCCCAGACTAGGCCTGACTAAAGCTTCAGATCAAGCCTCTACACCAAGCTCTCCAAACTACACTCCCTAGCCTGAACCCCCAAGTGAAATCCTGGACTGACATCCTTCTCAGAATGAGAATCTCTGAATGAGAGCTAGTCCAAGATGTACCCACTAAGCGCCCCAGCCCCGCATCCTAAACTGAACTTCCTATTTTTCACACTGAACCCCCAGACATTGTCTGCACACACTGGAGTCCTGAAAATGCCCATCTGTACCCCACACAACATCTCCAGACAAAGCTCCCAATAGTAAAGCCTCTAGTCTTCATCTAGTGGCCTACATAGGCCTGAGCTTATGAGTCCACAGCTTGTCAGAGTCTTCTTCCTGATCCCTTCTCTGGATACCCTCTACCTCCACCACCCATTGTGCCCCCTGCCCTGGGCTGGAGGAGATGCAGAATGTGTAGGAGAAAAGATAGCTTTGAGACTAACACCCTGCTCTGATGCCAATTCTGCTGCATCTCAAGCAGATAGCCCAGGCCATCCACCTGCTTAGTTTTTGTTTCTTCACTAGAAAAAAATGAGAGTACAATCACACCTATCTCACAAGATGATTATAAAGATAGAAGGAGCTAATTTATGCAAAGCATAAGTTGGGGAGCCCCGAAGAGGGTAGTAGGACCTTGGCCTTGCCTTAGGGAGCTTCTCGTCTGCTGAGGGAGACAGATGCAGATATATATTAGGTCGTCGGAAAAGTCATGAAGTATTTTTCTGTTTTTCTGTGCAAAAATGCATCATGACTTGGGACCAGCAGTTGGCGTAATGGCTATGTTGCTGGACTCCCATGTAGTAGACTGTGGTTTGAGTCCTGGACCCAGTGGCTTAAACCCATGCCGGGTGCATGTGTGTGCATGCCCAAGATCCTGAGAGGAGAATGGAGGAGAAGGGATTGTGGCATGGCCATCCCCACTGGGTGATTTCTCGCTTTCTGTCTTTCTCTGTCTTTCTGGCAAGTGCATGCGCTATAGCAAAAACCTCTAAAAAACAAAACAAAACAAAACACCTCATGTTGGGCACACGAGTATGCATGCCCAAAGTCCCCAGAGGAGAATGGAGGAGAAGGGACTGTGGCATGGCCATCCCCCCTGGAGGGGGTTGATTTCTCACATTCTATCTCTCTATCTCTCTTGCAAGCACATGCATCCTATAGCAAAAATCTCTCTACCCCTCCCCCCAAAAAAAGAAAAGAAAAAAAAAGAAAAATGCATCATGACTTTCCTGACAACCCAGTAAATGTGTGATGAGCAAGGCCCAGCTCAGTAGCCTAATGTTTAAGGGAGCCTGACCCCACATAACTGACCATGGTTCAAATCCCTGCCCTAGTGACTTGAAAAACACACCAGGTACCTGTGCGTACATGTCCAAAATTTCAACAGAATGGAGAAATACAGAAGGGATTGTGGTGTGACCACACCCCATTGGGAGGTGCTTTCTCCCTTCCTGTTTCTCTGTCTGTTTTTCAGTGTTGAGTGCACATGCCCTTCTAGCAATCAAAAAAGGGTGTGACTATCACATAGTGTGACTGGTGGGATGGAAAGGAACCAAGGGAAATGTGGAAACCCAAATAACATTCTAATGGAACCTAGGGACTCGGGGCAAGCTTAATGGAGGAGGTAAGCTGAATCAAGAAGATTGAATGGCAGTTAGCCAGATGAAGCAATATGGGACATGGTTATAGTACTGCAAATGGAGGGAAGCTGGAGTGGTCAGCAGAAGTTAGATCACCATGGGCTTTGAATGCCATACTAAAAGGCCAGGTGTTTATCTTATAGGCATAGGAGAGTCATTGAAAGATTTAAGCAGAGGAATGACAGTAACCTGTATGTGAGAAAGCAGCTTCTGGCAGCCAGGGTGGAAAAGGGCTTGGAGATTGGAACCTGGTACCTGAAAATCATATCAAGAAAGGCCTGACCTAGGGTTAGGAGCCCTAATCTTCTTGAGTAACAAAATTCAGTCATGGAGAGACAGCCTCCCCATAAAACAAGACATGGTTTGCCAACCATATGGATCCTCTTCAGAAGTACCTGTGCTCCTCCAGTACAGGCATGTCTTTTTTTAAAATTTATTTCTTCTATGAGCAAGAGAGAGAGAGATAAAGAGACATAGACAGCACCCCCAATGGGGTGCTGATACCATGACCTGCCCCCAGCCTTAGCCAGCCTCAGATGATGGGTACATGCATCCATGGAAGTCTCCAGATACAAACCTGGAACCTTCCCACATGAGTGAGCCTCACAGAGCCCCATGTTTTACTGATATGCCACTGTTTGGCCCTGGCATATTTTCTGAATAAGGAAATCCAGCACACACAGAGCAGGGTGCAGTGAAGTTGCAGGTAGGCCATAACCATGAGCAGGATTTATTAGTGAACAGGGATTCATTTCACTTATTTTCTTGATAATTGTTGACCACAATAGGAAATACAGATATTATAAAAAAGACAGAAGTAGGAAAAAAAATCACCTGTGATATGAGTGCCCAGAGAATAAGCAAATAATCACAATGAATGTTCTGACATATAATCTTCCTGGTATTTTTTATTTCTGAACATGTATATGTTCAAAAATGAGATCATTCTGTTAATACAAGTTTGTGTCCTTTTCTTAAAATAACCTGAGTATTTTCAAGATTGTTTTAGATTTATTTAATTTAATTAAAAATAAATAATATTTTTAATTTGACCAGAGAGAACATGAGAATGCAAGCTGCCAGGTCCAGGACTTGAACCGTGGTCAGCCATGTGGGCGTGCAGCACCTTAACCACCACATTACCTGCCAGCCCCAATTTGCCAGATTACTAAAAACCTTACACAAGCATCATTTGTAACAGCTGTTTACAATTCCACTATATGGATGCACCACAATTTATTTAACTGAACCCCTATATTTGGACATTTTTATTTCTGGTTTGGCCCTGTTGAAGACATCACTGTAATACAAGTGTATTTGTGCACAGAATATGTATTTTCTTAGCATAGATTCCTATAAACAGAATCACTGAAACAAAGAATATGATCACTTCTTTGTTTCTTTATATTACTATTATTCTGATTATAAAATACATGTTCTTTGTCAAAAATATGGAAATACAGAAAAATCTGAAGAAGACAATAAAAACCACCCATAGTCCCATCATCCACAGACAACTTATTAAACATGGGTATGTTTCCTTCCAGTTACATACATAACTATTATTGTTAGTACTGTTAATGATAATAATCTTGACAAGCTTGCTTTTTACCGCTGCCAGCTATTCCATGTTCTGTGATTCTGCTATTGTGGTCTTGACTGTGGTCTTTCTGATTTTAAATGATATTGCCATGGACATCTTTGAGGCTGGTGCTTTCTGGGAGGGGGAGGGTGTGGTCAGGCCAGGAAGAAGTATTCAAGAAGAAAAGAAGCTCCCAAGAGCCCCACTTCTGCTAGTCCCCCATCTGACTTCATCTTTCTGCCCACAGAGTCTCTAGAGCTGATAGCCACAGCAGCAGAGCACTCTAATGCTGCCATCCGCAAAATGGTGAGTGGCCCTTCTGGCCCTTCCCCTTCCTTGGCTTCCCACCTGTGGTGTCTTTGTGAGGGACTTGCAACTTGTGAGCATCTGAGAGCAACTGGCACCCCAAGTACTGCTTTTTGCTCTCTCCTACCAGGAACGAATGCACAAGCTGCTGAAAGTATATGAACTGCTAGGGGGTGAAGAGGACATTGTCAGCCCCACCAAAGAGCTCATAAAAGAAGGCCACATCCTTAAGCTGTCAGCAAAGAACGGGACAACTCAAGACCGATACCTCATACTAGTAAGTGCCAGGTGTGCATATGTGGGTGGACCAAACCCCTTGTACCCTTGCCCCCTACACATTGACCTGGTACTTACTTAGGATTCTAGCTGTTCTTTTTTTTTTAATAATTATTTACTTAATTTATTATTATTATTATTTTTAACTTGCCATAGGGAGACAGAGAGAGAAAGGGAAAGCGAGAAAGCAAGCTGCCAGGTCTAGAACCTGAACCATGGTCACCCATGTGGGAATCCAGCAGCTTAGCCACCACGCCACCTGCTGGCCCTTAGCTGTTCTTTAGTGATTCGTGTTTTCAAGACCTTACCATCCTACTTTGCAGATGAGATAACTAAGACTTAGGGAAAAGCAATTTGCCCAAAGTCACCCATTAGGAAGTGATTTCCATGCTTCCA